GTGCTTTTCCTTGAAAGTACGAAGGAGTGCCGAATGTATCCGAATGCCGAATGAGTGCCGAATCCATTCAAATTTCATGAAGGAAGGAGAAAGGAATTCATTTTTCCTGCTGTATTTGGAGCATGCGCACGCGGAAAATCCTACGGATCCAATATGCGTTCGAGCAGAACTGCGTCTAGCAGACTTCTCCAAGGCTTCCACTCAGCAAGGCAAGTCTTCATTTTGCCCCTACGCGTTACGGCTTCTCCTTCGGATGAATGGCGGATTTTAACACCTGTTGTAGGATCCTCAAAAAAGGGGGGAAGAAGATGAAGAAAAAAGTGGCTTTTGATCCGGGATCGACGGCGAGAGAAACAGACATCCAATCGGAAGACGAAGGGAAAGAAACTGTCGGCGTCGGCCCCATTACCGTCAGATTCCTCAACAGATTCACCGGCCACGTGAGCAGTCTTAATTCCGATTTCCTCAGCAGCGTTCATCATTAATGTCGGCTTCTTTCATACGAAAACCCGATTCCTTCCCGACGTTCAAGACAAATTCTCTTTTTCTTTCCTTCGTGGTTAAAAATCCACTCCATTGATCAATCGGAGGTCTACAGAGGCGTAGGCTACGGCGGACACCCAAATGTCTCATCTCCACAAGTCCATCTGTTCGGTCTTGTCGACGTCGGTGAAGGAATTCCCACAATCGATTACGCACCTTTTGGATTATTCTTTGGCAGTCGCTCTCGCAGATCCCCGAATGAATGGTTTTTCTTCCAACCTGAAGCATTATTAAAAAAGCAATGCTATTGTCAGTGCCAAATCCGGCTTGTCTCCCTCCCTCAGGCTGTCGAGCTCTGGGAAGCCGGAATCCCAACACTTCTACGATGTCCACGATACATCATATATTCGAATAGGTGACTGTAGTTTTTCTATCCAGCAATCATTTAGCGTCGCCAAAAGTAGCGATACTTGCTGATTCTCAGTTTCTCAGATTCAGAAAAGACCTGAAATGGTGGATGTTCAATGGTCAAGGTGTAAGAGGATTTCTACTTTAAGTGTCATTAAATCTGATTATCTGGAGAACTGCTTATGATATCCATCGCCTAGAGTCTATTGTGACCGTTTAGTATGATGCATTTAATGTGGGAAAAGGGGGGAATATTTTTTTTCCAAAACCTGTCTCATGGGGGAACTGAATCAATAAACTTCAATGAAAAACCACGGAACATCACGAATTTCGGAGCCTCGGACTTATTTGAGAGTTGGCCTTCCGAACTGCTCCAAATCGTCTGAATATTAACATGGCAATAAAAAATATACAAAAGAAACTAATGACACTGAGAGAGTAGGTGGTATTCGATACTCTCACCCATCACTTCGCGAAATCTCTAGTTTCTCTGGGCTCCTCTCAAGGTTTTTCCCGGTACGGTTCGCATTCTCATCAAGCCTACCACAAATCTTGCACTTCCAGTTATTTCGTGGATAATGAACATACGCCAGAGAGTACTCTCCGATGCACACATTTTAAACCCCTTTGAAATTTCAGTCGTACAGTTTCCTTCTTCATTGTAAAGAAGCTACCAGCATCATCATCCTTTATTAATAGGAAGTTGTTAGAGATGTCCCTGCTTACAGCCCTCTCTTCCATTCCCGAGTATGCTCTCTCTGGCACTCATCGCTCTTGACAATAGCTTCGCATCCAACTTTCCAAGACACCAGGCTCCACTAGAGCACTGTGGGATCGAGACAGTCCTACTTCTTACATACTTTCCAGAGACCATCCTAACTGCGAGGAGACCGATTTCCCAAAAAGCTCGCTTCGGTAAGTCAAAGGAATAGAAGTTCATCGGTGCTCCACCTGGGGACTTCCTAGGAATTCCCGTCAGTAGCATTGCTGATATTCCAATGGCTTCGTCCACCTGGCTGGACAAGGCAGTGATTGCCTGGAACCGCGGTTCAATACCTCATCTTGGAGCACATATGCCTTAGGAGTCTCTGGTTCCTGCATATTGGAGGGTCAAAAATCCACCTCAAAACTTGTTCTCGGATATAGTTTGCACCGTTACTGACAAGATTCGCCACTTCAACTTCATATTGTATGAGAAAAAATCAGCAACAACTGAAAATCTGCAAAAAGTTTTTTCCGTTTTTTACTTCAGGAACCCCTTTAGCCTATACCCTTGTAGGCATTGCGTGTCATGCTACACCATCTAATGTGGGTGTACTTTTAATTAGGGCTCTACCAATGTATCGACTGCAACCGATATCGGCTGCCGGTGTTGCACTATCGGCGCCATCAACCAGTTTGCAAGCTACTGATGCCGGTGTCTGAAGGAGACGTTAAAAAACAGGTGAAACGTGCAAAAAATATGGGAACGAGTGAACCCGAAAAATATGGATCGGATTAAATTTCAGCTCTATTCTATGAACTGGCGGAGAAAGATGCGTGGTGTCGTTTTTAGGGGATCCCATAAGAAGTATCACGTGATTTCCAAATAGGCTTGTCTGAATTAGTATGCATTTTCATGTTACTTCTCAATTTTCAGACAACAATCGGCACCGGCACCAACAGGTGGTTATGAGATGAAGATAGGTCATAGGCCCACTGGCCAAATTGGCCATCGGGACAGCCCTACTTTTTGAAGAGACTCCCTATACTGTATATGGCTTGAACATCATCCGCATTACTCAGAAAAACTAATGCTTTGTCTAGAGCGACTGCATAATTCCACTAGTCTCTTGGCAAATGGCGCTTAGGGTAACTTGGGGTAATATAGCCATTCACAATGAATCCCCTTATAGACTGAATAATTAGTTTGAGCGAATTTTAAAAATAGTTCCATCGAAATGTTTAGACCTGTTCTTCGATCCGGTTCTCACAGGAATTCGGGATACATCGATGTCTTAAAAGTCATGCATGCGATTCTTGGCGATGACTCATGACCCTGAAACTAATATGAGCCTTGAGCAACTTAAGCGCATCTTTCCTAATAGCAGCATGGATAAAGAAACCATTTCTTCTAAGTTCTTCTATGGTTTCTCCAGAATGCTTGTGGAAAGTGCTAGCCCCTTCACTTGCGGTTTGAAGGCAGTGTTGTCAATTTTGTAATCCGAGCCAATATGGGGGAATATCTCGATTTGGGGTAATACGGACACATCCTTCATTTCATGTTAGCACCGCACTGACCTATTGATAGTTTCAGCTTCCTTTCGTGCGGGATCTCAGGCTGCAAAAGATCATGCAATGCTCTCCCCTTTGATATATGCACTGACGTACTAGACTTCTGGACGAAATATGCAATACACGAAGCACGAAGAGGCCGTACATGAGGATATGCTCATGTACCACCTTCTGCATCGCTGACATTTTCCAGAAATTTTTGTTGCACGAAAATTGAATGTAGGTAAATATCCCTAAAAAAATTGGACATTTTGTGATTTTTTGCCATTATTTATCCATAAATGCAAGAACTACGCAACATTTTCCATGCAATGTAAGACCTTTTATTTAACACTCGTAGCGTATGGTCACTTTAATTTATGCTTGATCACTCATCTTGCACACAGTCTCTAGATATAGTCTCCCAATCACGTGCAAAGCTACTCAAAAGCAAAAGCGTTGCAGTCCTGCTTTCCACAACAGTTCCTCGAATCAGGTAATGATGTCTACTTCTTTGTTTTTCCTCAGTGCAGTTAGTGTTTATTTTTTCAACTGCTGATAGTCATTTATCATGTTTCAAGGTACTCAGCATGTTCCAGCATATTTCACGCGTTCCTGGACATCCTGGAGTTGTTTTTTTTTAATATCCAGAAGTGGCCATATTCCCCCAACTATAGGGTTAATATGGCCTCTTGAGTTCTACTCGAAAAAGACCCAAAGGCACCAAAACCATGGGTTTTTTTGCATATGCCTTGCCGGCATTTAGCAAAGGAGATATCAACAAATATTTTATAAACATTGTAAAAGTCAAATTCAACCTTGACGGGCCGTGATGACCAAGTTTCATTTTGATGGGCCATATACCCCCAAATTACCCTATGGAGCTTCTTGCTTTTCAGCTTTCTCGCGTCAACATGACGAGGCTGCGCCTAATGAACAAAAGGCTTGTGTTTCATCTCCAATATCAGGTCTTTATATTATTTTGTTGATCGTAGCAGGGCGCAGGTGCAACTTGTTGACAAGACCTCTGCGTTGGTAAAATTTCTTCCTGACGAGATCACCAGCAATATTAATGTGGCTTTTCTCCGCCTTCTTTAGCAATTTCTTGGGTGACTCCAACGTTGCAAATACCTGTAATGGTGTGGATTCCCTTGGGTGGAGACACACAAAAGCTGCGATCTGACAATTTTCTACAATGATAAAATACGATTGACCTTCCTCAAAGATTACATAAACGTGACCTCCCAGCAAACACATTCACTGAAAAAGCCTTATGAGTAAAAGTCTTCTCACGTTCATGTTGGAATCTCATCATACCACATTAGCCCCGAGGCAACGTAGAACGAAAACCCTAGCTCAGAAAAGCCTTCAATCTTGTTCAATTTCGTTTCCTTTACGTGAAAACTAGCCTCCCTAAACTTTTGATATGTCCGCTGAGTCGTAACGGGGCTCCTGCGAGTACTTATGAATTGGTACACATTCTCCTGCGACACCAGTGTGTCCTCTAGGGGGACTAATGATTTCTATGGAATGCATGTCTTAATCCAGGCTCTGCCTCGTTCGGTGTTCCCGGACACCTCTCGCTTCAGAAAACTTTTCTGGCTTTCCGTCTTTCTCATTGCTTCGAGCTACATGGCCTACCAAATCTTGATAACCATCGACACTTACACGTCTGGTAAAACGACCACCACAACCCAGGTACGTGGATTTTAAATTTTCTTACCTGGTTCTCGTTTCATCGATTCTGCTCATGGGAAGCAATCATTTTAATTGTGACACGAAACATCGACTAGATGGAGACCGAGGAAACAATGCTTTTTCCAGCCGTCACGATTTGTCCCTATAGCCCGATATTAATGAACTACGAAAATCATCCGGAAGCATCAAGTTACATAAGGGATCTATTGATGATGAATCAGGGTCTGCAAAGAATTCTGAGGAAACTGACCAGACCAGAAAATACCTCTCATGAGAAAGTGGCCGATCTCCTGTCGGTATTCTACGATATGGAAGACAGCGAAGACTGGAACGATCCGCCGATCTGTGTCAAGCCTTTTGCCGAAATGCAAGGTAAGTTCCTTTACTAGCTTCCTTGTCCTTGAAAATTAGCATTTGTTTTACATTACTGACACGTTCCTCTCCTTTACTCTGGAGCAAATGAAGTCTCAAGTACAACAATCAAGGGAGTCAAGAGGGGGACGCCAGAATCGGCATCGGAGCAGACTTCAAATTATGGTATAAATGCTGAAACGTTCTCTGCCTCAACCCTTTCAGTTCAGGCAGGACACAGGATTTTCACATAATTTTCACATATGTTGATGTTCCTTAACTTCCATGTCCAAACATACACTGGACAATTTCTCCAGATCCTATTGCAGCTCCCAGTCACAGGTTTTGCAGCTATATTTACTGAGAGTCAACATGTAACAAAAAAGTCATCATTTCCTAGCCCATTCTGTTTCTTCGAAGTCGAACTTCATATTTAGTGTGCAATCCAACAGTTGCTCATTTTCCTTCCCGCTTCCATTAAAGAAGAAAGTGTATGAGAGTGGCATCAGCCTGAACGTCCATCCGCAGGTTACGCCTAGGCCTGCGAAATCAGACCAACCCTCGAAATGTGCCTCCACGGCATGCAGCCCCAAAGTTGGAGTTTCTTAGCTATCAGCAACCCAACAGCTTTCCGTTTTTCCGTTTCATTGAACGAAGAATGTAGGAGTTTGGTGTAGGCCTAAGCATTAATCCATGGCTTAGGCTGAGGCCTATGAAATCAGCCGCTCCCTGGAAAATGTGCCCCCAAGGCATGTACCTTCAAAGTTGGAAATTTTCTGGAGTCGGAGATCTAACAGCTATTTATGCACCAAGATTCAGTCTCTCATCATTTCTAGAACATTGTTTCGAATTAGCGTCAGTCAGTCAGTCATGGAAGATCGTCTATAAACTAGTACTAGCGAGTTTGTTTTCCCTTCGGGCAAACAGACTCGCTATGAACGCGCCTTCGACCCAGTGCGTTTTATAAAGAAATAATTATAATATATTTGAAGCATCCCTTTTCGATTATCAGACCTGCAAATTGAGTAAAACTCAATGCGTCTTTAATATTTTTATTGCGGGTTTAAGCTACTCCTGTTTGTATGAAGTGATTCCCACCTGTTGTTAGGAATATGAAAAAAGCACTGATTCATTTACCTAGAATTGTCATCTTAGGGTTCAGTGAAACACTACCTCTCCCGCTTCGAGCTGTTAATACTACAGGTACATTGTTGGGAGCGAATCTTCGTGGAGGATGCTTGTATACAGCTTGGCATACATTCATCCTACTATGATATTTGAGAGTCATATCTGACTCCCTTGGCCGTCATGCAACCCAAAATATCAGGCTGCCTCCACCGTACTTGGGTGTCCCGTCTACATGCAGTCCTGGAAGGGCCCCCCGTGCTTCTTTCATATTCCATAACGCACCTCCAACCACATGAGGTAGACTTTTGTTTCGGTTGGCCGAAGAACACGTTTTAAGTCCTTTATGTTCAGTGCTGGTTGCGTGATGGTCGTGGAAACGGTCCACAGAGGCCATCGCAGAGCGGCTTGTGGATGGACACCCAAGTACTGCGAGGCAGCCTGATGTTTTCGAACTGCATGACGACAAAAGGAGTCAGATATGGCTGTCAAGTAGTAGGAAGATTGAATGCCAAGCTGTATATAAGCATTCTCCACGACGATTTGCTCCCGACAATGCAGTATTAACAGCTCGAAGCGGGAGAGGTAGTGTTTCAGCAGGACAATGATCCGAAACATGCCTCGCAGTTGGACCGCCAATCGTTCCAGTACTACGAAATAGAGGTCCTAGAATGGTGAAAACAGTCTTCAGACCTCAACCCAATAGAAAACTTGTGACAACACTTGAAGCGGAGGCTGGAAGCCTAAGAAAATGGGCCAGCCTGCATTTATGAGTTGCGTGAGCAGATTAAGACAAAGTGGGACGCCATTTCAGTTCAAATATGCTTGGATATGATCGAGAGCTCCCCCAGAAGGGTCCATGCAGAGTTGAAGATTAAAGGAAAATAAACTAAAAATAAATTAATTCGATTTCTGTATGTCTGAGAGTGAGGGGCAAAGCTGTCAATGATCTAGTTGTGTTTGAACAGCCATTAAGAGGTATATTCAGTATCGACCGGCACCAATCGAAAACCAGGAAGTAAGGTGATATTGGCGGACATTTGAATTGAATTGATTTTCATCTTCGAGTTATGAGTCATTAAGTGCAACTTTGTCAAACATTGACACAGTTTTGTCTCTCACTGTACAGACGATCCTGTCTGACTGTGAGTGAGTGACTGATGCTAATTCTAATCATGTTCTAGAGACGTTAGAAATCTGAAACTTGGTACGCAAGTAACTATTGGGATGTAGAGTTCAGAAAAAAAAATCCGACTTTGTAGGTATATGCCATCGGGGCGTATTTATTCAAGTGAACGTTTTCAAAGAAGTTCTTTTACTGCATTATCTTGAATTAAAAAAAAATGAAGTGATATTGCCTGAAAGTTGAATTTAATTCATTATGTAATCCTCGAGTGACGAGTCATTAAGTGGAACTGTGTCAAATATTTGAACAATTTTGCCCCTCACTATATATATGTCGTAGGGTTTCGTAGAATTCAGGGGGATTCCGAATCTCCATAGGGAGAAACAGGATTCCACAAAACCGGCGGGTTTAGCGGAATCCTCTCGAAAACCTCCATTATGTCACCTCCCCCTAGGGGATTTCAAATCACCCGGATTAGCTGCCAATGCTTCCATCATGTTGTTTACCCCTAGGGAGAAAGAGAATTATCAATCAAACGGGCAAATGGAATTTCATTTCAGTCCATGTATAGAAAGAAAAAAAAATCAACGTCAATAAGATTCGAAGCAGAGTCAATTAACAATATACTTGTCTTATTCTGGGAGGTTGCACGGCTTTCCCCCCTGACACTTGGATGAGCATATTATGCCTATTTTTTTACACTGCACACTAATAGATAGAGTTGTCAATGCGTGATATGGATTTTTATGCATTTTCTTAATGTGAATGTCCTGTGGATGTCGTGGCGGCCACGGGAGGATTCCAACAGAAACTGACAACCCTGTGCATTCTTTCCCAAAAGGGTGGCACTCACATGTCAACTCCAGTTAATCACTTTATGGCTAACCACAATGAAAGTGCGAGGGGGATTCCATATCCGAGAATTTTGGTCAGGAACAGACTATAATACGGTATTCTTCAGCCTTAAATAATCCGTAAACGCAAACGAAAGGAGAGTTGCCCTCGGCAGGACAAGCCCTGGGAAGGGTAATTTTCTAACCTGGGAGACATGGAATCTCCCTAGGGTGTAGTGACATTGATACGACTTTGAGAGGACAACCCGCAGGTTTAATGGAATCCTGTCTCTCTCTAGGGAGATTCCAAATCCCCCTGAATTCCAAAACCCTACGACATATACAGTATTAGATATTGGATGAACTGCGGTGAGGCCTACTGAGACTTGATTCCCTGTAACCTCTTTCTGAGTTTTTATTTTTGGGGTTAAGGACGGTTGATTGTTTAGGTTTGAAGGATCAAATTGGAGATTTGTTTTATATCGTTTATATTTGTCATTGACGGAAGGCGGCCCAATAGGAGTGACAGTCGCGCTTCCGCATAACACCCAAGTTCTCCGCGTGCGTATTGGCGGTAGCGGGTCCATAGTTATGCATAGCATTTGTTCCACTGTGTTAATTCATTCTGGGAAAGAGTGACGAAATATTATTTTCCAGATGCTACGATGTGGATGGAAGACACGGACCTCTTCCCCCTTTTGCTCGAGCGCAGTTCCTACACCTTGGACGATTTTCGGCGAGATTTGCACGCAGCGGACATATCGCCCTATGTCAGAAAGTCGATACGGCGCTGCAGCTTCAACGGGAGCCCTTGTGAGGAAACGTAAGCAATGCTTAGGGTTGCCCTGAGGAAGAAGCCACCTTATGGAGTGAGATACTCGAGCGTGAAATTCCGAGATGGCCAAATTCCAGTGTTACTTCACTCTTCCAGCATTCACGGTGTTGGTTCTGAGGGGTGCATCCATAAATTTTTCAAAATAATTTTCGCGAAAGCTCAGGAAACGGAGAAAAGCGGTTTACATATTGAATTTTTTGGTAGTCGATGAAGAGAAGATGCAGATTTTACCACTGATGAGTCTAGAAACAGGAAGACGTAAATCGCGCCGAAGCAGGCGCGAAAGGGGTTGGGATTCCATAACCCCCCCCCCCCCAAAAAAAAATTGTAATCATGAGAATGAAATAACGTTTTCATGTGAGCATTCTTCGGTGTATTTAGCGACCTCTCAGCCTTGGAAACAGTCGCAAACGGGGAGTGCATCACCTACAACTATGGCGGACGCAGAAACTTAAAACGTCAAAGCTCGAAATCGACAGTGAGATCCTTTTGCAAAAAATCCAGGAAAACAAATATACCGCGAAATCATCTCTTGTGTTTGACTCGAACAGGACGGACTTCAACTGATCCTCACGTCATACGCACCAAACAACCAGATCCTCTTCTCACCCTCTGAAGGATTCCGACTCATGATTCACAATCATGGGACTAGGCCCGATCCGATTCGGAAAGGATTCGAGGTCAATATACAAACGATCTCCTACATCGGCATCAGGAAGATGGAATTGGAGCATCTCGGCCCTGAAGACGGGGGGTTTTGCGCCCCAGATGCGTACCTAACGCAGCGATTCGACCCGATAATATTCAAGATTCCGGAAGTACCAAAATATTCCAAGGAGGTATGATGGACTTCCGATCCTTTTCATTGCATACCTCATTGTTCTCTAATCGTTTTCTGTGGCTCACCTTTATCAGATCTGCCTGAATATGTGCTGTATGGATCGACTGATTAATAACGTTTCGGATAGCCGGAGCTGCCTCAAGAAGTATATATTCTACTCCTCTCTGCTGACAAGCTCAACAAATGCCTATGATTATTGCAGCACCAAAAGTGAGAAATGTTGTATACCAAACATTGCCTGAAGATCCATTCTGTAAGACATTAAATAATATTTTCACATGATATCGTGTGGAACAAAAAGGTCAAGCAGACGCTGTATTATGGATGCTTGATACACTCAAGAACGAAAATGGATCCTGTGGTTGTCCCCCTCGAGCTTGCAGGTGAGCCTCAATCCTGCGCGATTTCTTTCCTTCAAAGCACGAATATGAGATGAGATTCATTCTGTGCTTTAGGGAGGAGAAATACGAGTGGTCGTTGTCGTCGGCGCAGGTGAGTCGCGAGAATGTCTTGCTCCTGGATCTCATCGCTTGGATGAGGGAGCAGAAAAAGAGCAAGAGTAGAAGAAAACTGAAAGACAGCACCTACTGTCATCATCCCAAGTCTGCATTGTCATTTGCATTCATTCATTTATCAAGTAACTTGCAGGGTCTGTTATCGGTCGGCATCTCGACGTAATGCCATCGCAGACGATAACGCATACCTGAACTGCAATAGGAAGAGATAGAACTAGAATTCGTCCCTGACTCAATTTTTTTTGCAGAGAGAATTTTGCTGTGGTGAACGTCTACTTTGAGTCAATGGAAACAGAAAAAATCGTGGAAAGTCTCATATACCCTGTGAGTCCCATAATTAGGTGTATTCCACACGTGAATTTATACATCCCCTCGAACGGTCACCCACTATACAATTCGAAATATTATATTATGGAGCAGTGGTCGACCTTCGTCGGTACTTTGGGAGGGTTGCTGGGTCTCTACACCGGTCTCTCTTTCATCTCCGTTCTGGAAGTACTGGAGTGGTTTTTGGACGTCATCTTGTACGGTTGGAGGAAACCTCGACACCACAAGACGGGACCGAAGCGACCGGTCGATCTCACTCGTGAGTCGGTATAAATCCGTCACATTAACCGATATACGGAGGAGCTAAGCCTGCTCCATCACATCCGACAGGACAGGACACGACGGCAGTGGAGGTAGAACCCAAAGAGAATGCCCTGAAGCATCGAGGCTATAATGGAAGAGATTCTCCCGTCCACTCTCGTTCGTCCTAGAAGAAAACTAAGGAGCTGGATCCAAAATCATATCTATTTTACTGAATATTGGTGTTTACATATTCTTCGATGTGCTATGCATTTGATCTACACTCACCTAACCTGTTCTCACACCACTATTCCTCTCAAGATTCATTCACTTTTTTGTCGAAACGGATGTAATTATTGTTGCAAATTGAAAGCATCCTAAGAGAGAAGAAAGAACTTCCATTGAGGAACATGTCTGTTCTTCCATGGAAATTCTTCAGAATCAGAACCTGATGTATATACAAAGGTATATGTCTTCGTTGCCATTTCATCCTATTCGCAATCTTGCAGATTTCGGTTTGAGTCCATCAATAAAGGAACACAGAAATCGGCAATATGACCTGTTCTGTTTTCTCAAAGGGGGCCACTTCTTCAGCTAATACTTATATATGGATACATATAGTGTTTTTATTCATGGTTCACAATCATACGGCATTCATTCCAGAGAAAGTAGAGCAGGACAGGCGCCAGCCTCATGGGGAGGTTATCAGGCGCCCTATCTAGTGATATTAACTTCATATCACGGTGAAACAACCGAGACAGAGAAAGGACTAAATAAATCAAATGTGGCATACTAGTGGCTTTGTGTGAGTTCATAGTGAGGAAGATGATGACGAAAATTAGAATGAGGGGGAAGCGGGGAGAGTACGGCGTAGACAGATTTTAGCAGAAGGCATCCATAGATGTCTCTCCCGAAGTTGAGCAGAGGCATAGTCCAAATGCAAGACCAAAAAAATTTTTTCGGAAGTGAAAGATTCTCAATTTTACCTAATTTTCGTGCTGACCCACAGACTCGGGCGACACCTGGAGTAAGATGCTCGTGGTAAGGTTTCCTTGGAGCAGCTCACAGATCATTTCCATGAAGTCAGCTTGGAAAATGAACCATCCTCCCTCTATTGTTCAAGCTAGGGTTCTCTGGAGACTCCTTGGGGTGGTTTCGGTAATAAGCCCCCTTGTCTTGATCACATTTGAACAAATAATAAATTGTCATAAGGAATCTGGCGATAGTGCTCATCACTTGATGCTTCGAAAACTTGACCGTGCATTACCATGGAATTAGTTCAAAGAAAATTCCTGTCTGGGTTAACAAGTGGCAGGTAAACCTGCTGCAAACCAGAGGAAAATAAATATTATGTTGTCATGGAAGGATTCATCATGATCTTCAGGGATTATCACCCTAGTAGCACCCGAACATGTTCTATTAGCGTTTTATTCAAGTAATTGCTAGCGTTCCATTAACGTCATTGGGAGGGTTTTATTGACTGCTTAAGTGTTTAAAATTCAAAGCAATGAAAAAACAGTTCAAATTACATGTTCCTTGAACTCCGTGAATTAGACCTTTCCATGAAAAAAGCTCAATCAAACTTTCTTTCTTAGGATTCATCCGATGTGCAATTAACATTTCGAATACGTTGTTTCACCACTTAAATTGCGTTCAGTCTAAGTAGAGCCCTGCTCACGCGACTGGGGGTTAGATACCATAATGTGGTGGAGTAGTAGGATTGAAGGTAATGAAGAATGGGGTGCCATGGGTCACGAGGCACCATGGGCCATGGGGTACCATGGGTTATGGGGCACCATGGGTCAGGCTGTTTATAGCTCTCCCAGCTGTTTCTCTTCATGTTGTATGCTACATAACTTCCTACTGAGGTGCCGGGAAATTCGAGTTGAAAAAAGTGTAGACCCACCCAAAGTGCAAATTGTGTGGACGTTTCTCTGAGAAGACACTCATTTCGTTTTTGTTGGCATTAACGTCCCGATTTTGCTAAGTATTTCATTTGATCAATAGTCTTTATTCTTACTGGAATGTGATTCGAGAGAAAGGTAGTTCAATGCCTGCGCGTATGAACTACAATCTCAACTTACTCTGGTTGAAATATTGATTTCACTTGAATGCCTTCTGTTGGGGCACGATGGGTCACTGTATTTGGGGCACGATGAATCACTATTTTGGCACAAAGGGTCATAACTCAGTGCGCCAAATGTTTTCTGATAGTTGGCAGTACATATCAATATTTTAATTGCAGTATTCTGCCGATCTGATACAGTGCAAATACCAGCGGAGGACTCTGTACTGTTCTACACCAGCAGATGCGTAATTCTTGGACGTGAAACGAATCGTATATTACTTACCGATTAAAGATTCTTAACTTTTCTAACCGACTTTGATGGAGTGCATCAGTATTCGAGAGCTTCTCCTCCTGCGGTGTAGAATGTGTCATGACTTTGGATCAAATGACGATTTTAGTGATAATTATTGGGATGGCCCATCGTAACCCGTACAATGACCCATGGTGCCCCATTGTAAAATACGACTTCATCCCATGACACTTGTATCTGAAACACTGGATTGTTCAGTTGTTTTGAGTGTTTACACGCGCGGCCTTCCATTGCTTCAGAGGAATAGAAATGCGTAGGTTCCAGGTCCCCCGAAAGTGAACCAAGGTGCCCCACCCTCCCTTACTATCTTACATCATCTGGGATAGTCTCATGGGGAAGCGTGGGGCAATTCAGTATTAAAATAATAAAAAATGTTCGTATCCGCAGCCCTATTATATCCAGGAATAAAACATCCGCATTCACCGAACCGAACCTTTCAACTTGCGAGATGACCGCGGATGTTGCCTTTAATTTCCATGAAGTCAGTTTGGAAAATGAACCATCCTCCTTCTATTGTTCAAGCTAAGGTTCTCTGGAGACTCTTTGGGGTGGGTTACCTCTAAAAACGGATTTTTTCCAGAATTCGAGTATCTTCCGCTTTGGTTTATGTGGAGAAAAGATCGGCTACATTGTGAAAAGTATTGTGGCTAATTCCAGCTGTATCAGGAATCGACTCGCTATAGCAACTACTTTGACCCCATCACGCGTCGTTTGCGAGAACCTTTTCCTTGAGCCGGTGTCAGATGGTTACTGTTGATATGATTCAGGAAAACATCTTAAACGTTCGAAGAATGTCCTTCAAATGCAGCATGTTTCGTGACTAAAAGGCACTTCAACTGAGGGCCAAAAAGGTGCTCATTCTCGTACGCTAGAGGTCCAAAGACCTCTTTGAAAACATGTTGAACGTTCTCGAAAACGTATATGTGCTACTTGGGCAATGTCATATGTACAGTATAATCCCTGCAGGTTTCATTTGACCCGAGATGATGATATTCAGCACCCGATCATTGAGCGGAGCGGAGGAGGCGAATGCGAATGGAGGCGAAGAAAAGGAAATCGCACCCATTTCATCATGGATGCATAAAATCCCTGGATTCGCGGCAGCACGCGAGGCATTACGGTGAGCGATGCCGCCGTTCCCTTGCGATTCAGGTGGCAACTCTCGTCTCCGCGTTCTTCCGAGAGATGGCGTGACGACGAGTGAATCTCCGATTTTCCGTAAAAATTGCCTCCCTTCCCTTTCCCGTGGCCAATTTGAAACATTCATTTCTCAAAGGCATATCCTCGGATGATCAGGAAGAGTTCTGTCGAAACCCCAAGTTCATATCTGTAAGAGTTTGGCCTGTAGAGCTATCGCACACACACATACACACACACAAACAATTGTCGTTCGGACTAGCTAGCGGTTAGGATCGGTCTCGCTCTGTGTTTAACGGTTTGAAACATTCATCAAAGTATTATCAATGCTATTTTTAAAAAATCAAGCTGATGTAGATCTCGATGAAAGTGCTCCGAAGCAGTAGCCACCCGCCGCATAAATATAACGCAGGCCCCACGCGGTTCCCTGGAAACATTGTTTCGCATCAGGAGTGGATCATGACAAGCCCTAGGCAGATGGTCTCCGCCCGACTACAGCCTTCACGATTCGTCAAGCCGCTGGGATCGATGCACCGTTTCCAGGTATAAGCGAACCTCGATACTATCTGTTCTCCATCTCCAATATCTGAGCGCTTCTTGAGAGATTTAGAAAAGAGGACGGTGTGGATTCTCCAACCTTAATTTCAGTTGAATTTCTCCCATTTAAGTGTTCACGTGCTGTGACGCAGAAAATGTAGATCCCATTTCCTGGCTCCCGATTGGAGTCCGAGAATAAAGCTCAAAGGAAGTGGGGATAGTCCTGAGCCCAACCATGCGGGATTGGACTATGGGGTATGCAATTTGGACCAGGGCATCTGGTTTCGTCAGCCACAGGGCAAACGATTAAGTCACGTCTCTCCCGACCTTTTAATTAAGCTGGAACTAGAAGCTTTTGCCGTTTCTCGAGCCGGCACCAGCCCATTTGGGTTTGTAATATGGTGCTTCCTTGTCATCCCAAATGCTTTTCACCGAGCTTTTTGGATTTTGCTATGGAGAGAGCGTTTGATTCGAATCGCGTCATCTTCAGTTCCTGAGGAAGTGGGAGTTACCTCATTGCGTGACAGCACCTTCCTGTATCACAAGGTGCATCTTGTTGACGGGCCACACGCCTCCGAATTTTGTGGACGGAAGATGTCATATCCCTAACGTAACGTAAAGGATGCAATCAAGAGAAACGATGATGTCTGGCAATCACTTTGTGCTGCGATCCCTTGCGTTTTGTCGAAGGCTCCAGCTCTTGGAGACGATGGACACGAGGCGTTGCTACGACAGTGCAACGTAGATACCGAATAAACATTACGAATTTATTAACCCCTCTTAATGCCAGGGCAATGATATATCGTGGCTTCTACCCAGGGAATCGGTCGCGTGGCAGTAAAATGACAAAGGAGACCTCTCCTTCCAACAGACGGTCGACATGGCCCAGCGGATCGGTTGACAGGAAGAACCTTGGGAATATCCGGCGATGCACTCCTTCCGCTATTCCCAAACCAGCGCTCTTTTCGCATTTTCGCTTTCATGCAACAGGACTCCCTTTGGCAAATTTCAATATCGACTTGATGTGGTTCCGGAATTGAGAGAATTTCTTTGATGTGGTGCATCCGTCGATCGTTCCTGATTAGACGTAGGTCTCCTTTCCTTCGCTACGTGTGCATACTCTTTCTCGCTAGACAGGCGTGCAATTCCTCGACCAGGA